GCTAACAAGGCGTGGTATTCCAGCAAGGGAAGTGGGCAGGTGACCAACAAACCTCACAGTTAGAAATGTTCGTAACTACTAATACTACTACTACTACTGCTACTGCTACTGCTACTGCTGCTGCTACTACTACTACTACTAGCTCTTAAAAAGTAATAGTAACTCCCTTAATAAAAATTTTAAATATTTCATGTAACTTTGCTTACTTTATGCCACATGAAATAACACGGGCATGGAATTTCCTGGAAATTTAACGAATGAAAAATTTAATAAGCGTAATAATATAACGATGGGAAAATGTATAACACCGTGGAATTACGAAACAGAAATCAGAAGCGAATAAGATGGCTGGTTGCGTATGGGACACTTATTGCGTACATCACAAAGACTGTAATAAGAAGACAAAATTAATCTCGAAATTTACGATGCAAGAACTTTTGTATTATATTTTATAAGAGTCGGGAGGAACGAGGAGGTGGAAGAGGAGTGAAACTCATCATCCAAGCTATAAATATGATAAAAAGATACGTTATCAAGCTTCACTTCGATCAACTAGGTGCATGCATAAAACAAAGACTGCTAGCGAAGAACTGCCATTTTGAATTTCACGTCATGACGACTAAAGCCGAAACCCTCTTCGCGAGAGGGCGTGAAAGGCTCCGTCATTATTTCGGATGTGTCACGTCAACTTTCCGGCTTGTAGCATAGTGCCTCAACCAACTACGCTACCGCGTGCCCCCTGGCTACGGGCTGGACGACCGAGGGGTCGGAGCTCGAGTTCCGGTAGTTTAAGAATTTTCTCTTCTCCATATCTTCCATACCGGCGTTGGGGCCCACCCGTCCCCCTGTCCAATAGGCACTTGGGCTCTTTCCACGGGGGTAAAGCGACAGGGACGCGAAGCTGTCCACTCACCTCCAACTAGTGCCGGGGTCAAGAATACAAGTATGTGGGCCTATACATCCACTCCTCTATACCCCTTCATGGCATAATGCTTACTTAGTTAAGTACAGGGACAACTTTATCTTAATCGGATTTGTTGATCACTTACAATTCGTAACCACAAGTAACTATTATGCTCTCACTGTTCTACACACTTCATAAATCACTGTAAGACACACTAAGTCTTCTCAGTCTGTTAGATTCTTCGCTAACTGTTGCTTGGTAGCGGCTTTCAGCAGCAGACATTCCCCTTCCCCGGGGCTCCCGAACTGTCTCCGACCTCAGCTAACAGCTTCTCACAGCGACTGAACACGAACAGTTATCTGACTCAGTAACTCACCGACTTTCTCTACTAACTGCAACTCCTAACTTGTCCTACTTATAATATCTCGGCACGAACAGCGTATAAAACACTGTTCCTCCATTGCAGTGCAATTGTTGCCTTATAAACATGCTTGTTTGCGGAGTCATTTAGCAAGGGCACTTGCATAGTTGATTATTTCTGTGTCGTTGCCCTGCAACGGGTTTACATGCCACAATGTTTATATTTTCAGAGAGAATTTTATTTTATTGATGAAATGACTTACCTAATAAAGGAAGGGAATTCGTATGAGGATGGTAGTGAATCGAAACCCTTCAAAGCGACAAGGAAAGAAAGTAGAAATCCCTTTGTAGAAAGGAAACATTTCACAATGATACACTTTTACAGATCTTACCGCTTACTTGGAATTTTACTTCACGGAGAGAAAGAGATTCGTGGATTTGGTGTAGAGAACCACTTCATATTGAGCACCATTTTGCCGGCAGGCACTTTTTTCCCTCGTCCACAGATCCTTGTATGTAAAATTGTATTTCCATCTCCAGTCTCCTCAGGTTTCACAAAACATGCGAACATTTTCTTTATTTTTATATTTTTAGAGACGCTGGAAAACGAATTTCATTTATGTAGCCTCGATGTTGCTTGTACGGGGTGGAAAATATTTAGATCTATAAAAGGAGATTGGTAGGATTTAGAAAATTTTGTAATGAGCAGTTTCATGATTTATGTCCTTCGCCTAATATTATTAGGAGTATCAAATTTGGAAGGATTAGATGGACTTGACATAAAACGTGTACTGCAAATTTTGAAATATGTACAAATATTAAATATACCAGAGATACATACAAATATTAAATATACCAGAGAATGACCCGTTGACATCAACAGCGAACAAAAAGCTAATAAGAGAATCCAGTTTTTTTAAGCTGTCTGATTTAAGGGAAATCAGTTCCTTGTTAAAAAAAGAATGCATATGAAACTGAGAATGTAATTGGTTAGAATAACTAGTGAAATTTAGAGATTGATGCTAGTAAGGAAGTTGGTCTAGAATGAATGCAAAGAAACTAAGTATATTTCAACAGATTTGATCAACGCGTTGCCAGGCAACAGCTCCGTAAACACGGTCCAACACGCAACAATAGATACGGCTGTGTTTCCTATGTCGTCCGCGCCAAGCAGCGGTGGAACAACGGGGTTATGCAACCCGTTTCTAAGTAACTGTTCAGTAAACATACTTCCGCGTAAGCGGTGACATCACATAACAGTGGATAGCGACCACGTGACGTGTTTCATAAAATGCTGGGAAATTCTTGAGTAGCTGCACAATTTGCTGCTTCTCAAGAAGGGCTCATCTCCGTGGATTTAATAAAATTTAGAGACTTGTTATGATAAAGGGCGATGTGATTCATGCATAAATGGGCTGTAATTTCGTTACGATTCAAAACCAATTCTCGAGCACCGCATCACAAATTAAAGAACTGCAAAAAGAATTGTCTGGAATTTATCCCATATATTGCGTTAATAAAGCAAAAATGTAGCCATACTACTGGGGAAGTTCTCTGAAGTCTTGAGGGAAATATTGAAATAAGTGTACACACAATTCTACATAGCCCTTCCGAGAAGATACTATCACGTGATAGAGTGACTGTAGATAGGTTTTGGAATGGTAACTGGAGTTATTGAAAAATTACAATAGTAACTACGGGTAACTATTATTGCCATCGCTAGTTCACACACTCCACAGTTCACTACAGCACGCACTAACTCTTCTCAGTCTGAAGTGTCTTCGTTTGTCGTTGTCTCGTAACGGCTTCGAAGGCCATAGATCCCTCAATTTCCGTGTTCACGTCCATTCTGGCCGGCAACTATCTTCTAGAATTTGGTTAGCTGTAAGATAGTTGCCGGCCAGAATGGACGTGAACACGGAAAATGAGGGATCTATGGCCTTCGAAGTCGTTACGAGACAACGACAAACGAAGACACTTCAGACTGAGAAGAGTTAGTGCGTGCTGTAGTGAACTGTGGAGTGTGTGAACTAGCGATGGCAATAATAGTTACCCGTAGTTACTATCTGTAATTTTTCAATAACTCCAGTTACCATTCCAAAACCTATCTACAGTCACTCTATCACGTGATAGTATCTTCTCGGAAGGGCTATGTAGAATTGTGTAGAATTACGTTTCCTGCTTACAACATCTCAGCACGAATCGCACCGAAAACACCTCTCCTAACAGCTCTTCTGAAATTGCGTCATATAGCATTCGCACTGACCGCGTGGAAAACACGGCTTGTCAATTACTTCATTGGTGCGTGTTAGGAATCCGTTGCGGCCGTTACCTAGCAACAGCTGTTGTTTACAAAGTCTTTACTTAGCAACGGGTCTACAGGCTACAAGACATTTTCCAACGCAGTCTAAAGTCATATTCCTACGTGTCTACTGTTGAGGTAACTGATGTGTACATCTTATACGATTGCCTTACTTTCTTGTTGAATATTCTTCGTATAAAGAGTAGGCATATTCGGATAGAATTTATTCAATTATGGCCCTTTGGCAACAACGGTAAATAGAAAATGTTGTTACAGAAATGTTATCTGATTCAAAAAACACCCATTCCTTATTAGAAAGAAAGAACTCTGGCTCGTTCGTGGTCTACTACATGTACTCGTATGGTCATGCAGTGTGCCTGTGATAATTCGTTGCTATGGTAACAAAAAATGCCCAATTTCAGAGACTTCGTTCGCAGTTACAAAACTTCTTTTATACATATTGTATTTCAGCATCCTGAGTACAAGGGAAGACTGCAGAACAGCATACACAACAAAAGTACAAGACTTAGAAAAAGACTGAAATAGCCGCCAAAAGTTAAGATGGGAATATACTACGAAAGAAATTAACAACAAAAACAACGATGTGCTTAAGGGCACAGAGGGCCGCGCCATAGCTCAAGCGGTTAGTCGCTGGCTTCTCACCGCGGCGGCCCGGGTTCGATCCCGGGTCTGGTCAAGTGGGATTTGTGGTGGACAAAGTGGCCCTGGGGCAGGTTTTCTCCGAGTACTTCGGTCTCCCTTGGCCACCATCATTCCTCCAATTGCTCCACAATCACCCTCACCTATCATCTGGGGCTGGTACAATAGGCCAGAAGTGGCCGCAGTACAAGGGACTTAGTCCCACCCCACTAGCAATAAATAAAAACAATAACAACGATGTGCCTAAGGGCACAGAAGTCAAAGTGTAAAGTTCAGTGGTCTCCCCAATAATAAAATTTGCTGATGATGGACCAAATGTAGCCGAAACGTATAGCAAAATGATTGAATGTACTCGTATATACCGTATTTACGCATGTCGCAGTCGCACATTTTTTGCCAAAAATTCAAGAGGAAAACTGGGGTGCGGCTTATATTCGAAATATTCGAAATCACACTTCATTTAAAAAAAATTATATTCATAATTAGTAATACAGGGTGTAATACTCCTGAAATAATATTCCAAGAAAATTATATTTTCTATAATTTCTGTCTGAAAATTGTGCTGCGGCCTATACACGCACGCGGCCTATACATGCGTAAATACGGTAGTTAATGACATTTTAAAATTCTTAACACACACCTTAAGAGTGGTAAATATATTTTAGTGTCTCTTAAACAGGTTAGCTTGTTGCATTACCGACAGAAACTTACGATCTAAAATTTGTTTATTGATGTATATAAATTCTGATTGATTGCCCTCTTTTTGTTTTTCAGGCTTCAGAGAGAACCGTAACAGAAGTGCGCACATTTTGAAGACACTGCGGTAAGTAAAATGTAGATTTAAATATGGTCATTTTGTGGAACCTGGAAGCACGCGGATTGTTGCCGTCCGTGCGTGTTCATGAAGTTACAATTTGCAAGTTGCGTGACTAATGCACTGCCCTAAATGTATCCTCCTAACACAGCATAGCAGAAATCTACTGACATTTCAGAGTTCAATTTATATTAAGAACTAACCTCGCTGGCACACTGAGAGAATTATTATTAGTAAAAACAATTTTACGTGCTGCATTATATTAACCTTACACTGTTAGGGCTATAGCTGATCACAGTGGCGCGCGGTCTAACGCACGAACTTCCTTCGCTCGCTCGAACGCTGGGATGGTGGGTTCGAATCTCTTTCCAGGTATGAATGTCTGCGTTTATTCTCTGTTTATGTTAGCTAGCAGCTTTGCGACGGACTGATTCCCTTCCAAGAAGTGCTATGCACTGTCTAAAATTAAGAAACTGAAGTGAAACGAAGCTTTTCACGGATGCTCTATCCTCAAATTGGGAGCAACAGGAACATATTGACTGACTGACTGGTAGATACTGTGGTCAATTAGAGGTGGAATTTCGGAATTTCCTATTGTGACCCGAACGTTGGGATAATCAATAGCCTGACTGAGAGTCGAACCGTGTACCACCCGAACAAAAGGGTAGACATCGAGAGCTGCAACAGACTTCTCGATCATATGATTGTGATTGATGAGCGGGAAGGGATTTGGAAAGGAGGAGTCATGATATTTTTAAGACAATAATCCCAGAAATATCCCCGAGAGATCAAGCAAAACAGTAGAAACATGTCCGCCTACGTGTGACAGTAGAACCTAGAACTTCCGGACCAGAGGCAGGAGTGCTAAGCACTACACAGTGACGGTCGGACTTTCGTCTGTCAGCCAGTCTCTGGGAATTCAGTGAAACGTGACTAAATGAGGAAACTGCTGGCCTGCTGATAGGCGCTGACGTTCATTAAACATTTGTACTTTGTACACTGACGTGACGGAGGCCAAAAATATGTATATTCAGTAGGGCTTAGCAGTGAGAATGTTAAATCTGAGCATTTATAGACTTACATGCTATTTCAGGTGCGTTCTCTTACAGGGTTTTGTCCGGGAAAACGACCGTAGCTACCGGATTGAATTTCAACTTTTACACCGATTTAATGAGTATGTTTAGAAGAAAAGTTACTTTTCTCATTTAACGAATATTCACCCTTATTTTTAAAAATATTTGCCATTCATTCTCCCTCACTATCATCGTACTCTTAATTTAATTTCGTAAACAATATTAATGGCGCAGGGCTCTACAACCCTTTGGCCCTTGTCCGTTTTTTTTCAGTTTCTTAATCCTATGCACAATCAGTAGAACTCCTTGGACAGGGGATCGGCCCGTCGTAAGGCCGTTACCTCCGCACAGAACAACACAAATTCAGTATAAACGCACAGACATCCATGCCTCAAATGGGATTCGAGCTCGGAATCCCAGTGTTCGGGAGAACGAAGACGGTCGATGCCTTAGACCGCGCGGCGACGGTAATAGGCTATACTAATTCCGTGGCTTTAGTCCGAAAGTGAACTATACCGACCGAACTACCGCCGCTTGTCGGCGATGTTAGTCTCAACTTCAGTGGATAGAGGGTGTCGCGTGGTCAGCTAAACAGATTCCCACGGTCGTTAATCTCGAGGAGGATGTAAATAAGTAGATGTTACAACGCTCTGTAGTAGGTGGGTGGGTTCAATCTGATCATATTTTGTTAATACACCCATGTCCGGAAACGCTTCCTTTTGGCACTAAGGGTCACAACGTTTCCGAGAGGATGCATAAGTTTAAGGGGATGTTATCGTTGTTTTACATTATGAAAGTTGCATCAAAATGGCGGCCGCCTACTTCATTGCATATTCTGCCCCGCCTGGCTATGTTATGCTGAACCGTTTCAAAGATTTCCGGCATTTCTCGGATGGTTCCAGTTGCTACTGAAATTCTTGCAACAAGATCATGTAGTGTCTCCACGGGAGTCTCGTACACCGGGCTTTGCATGTGCCCCCAGAGAAAGAAATCCAGTCGAGTCAAGTCAGGGGAGCGAGGGGGTCAAGTTATTGGGCCTCCACGTCTAATGCATCTGTTGCTAAAGGTTTCATCCAAATACTCACTGATGACATTAGTACAGGGTGCTGGGGCGACATCATGCTGGAACCACATTTCATGACGGACTTCCAAAGGCACCACTTCTAGCAGCTTGGGTAAGGTCTCTTGGGGAAATGTTAGGCAAATGTCACCAGTAAGCCACAGAGGTAAGAGCTTCCTTCACATTTCAGAGGCTCTAGCACGTAAACAGAGAGTTTCCGGGCACAGGTGTATTAGCAAATGTGATCAGATTGACCCCATCTATCTACCACAGAGCGTTGTAGCATATATTTATTTACACCCTATAGATGAAAAATGTAAAGTTATCCCTGAAACAGGCCGCGAAGACCCATAGGATTGTGAGACGTCGAGACTCCCACTTTTTTTAGATAATCGACTCACAGATGGCGGTGAATTTGTCAACCTTACGCGCCGGCCGCCCTTTACCCCCCAGAAGGATTCCTGGTACTCATTTCTGTTAGAGGCTGAGTCGACCCCAGGGCCATAGTCCTGCTGGAAGTGTTAGGTTAATTGAAAGACCCAGTGACCTCGTCGGGATTCGAACCCCCAACATTCCAGCTTATAGCATAGTGCCTCAACCAACTACGCTACCGTGAGCCCCATCGGATATATATATGTACTTGTATATCACTCTGGAACAAGGTACGCAGACTCATAAGATCTATTTATAAACATAATTCATGTGGTGAATTATATTAATTTTAATGGTGCAATTTAATTCCAAATCTGAATTTACATCATAGATTTGCTGACAATACACTTCTGTGTATACCTACTAGTGAGTTATATAATATAGAAATATTTTCACGTATAGGGATGCGTGGCTATAGACTGGGTATAGATTATTTATTGGCTTCATTGATAACTTGTATACACCTCTCAGAACTACACTTTACAATTCACTGACACACACAGACTAGTGTCCTCAGTCTAGTACAGTCTCCACTAGCCGTTTCCTGGTAACAGATTTATACCAGTCTCACTGAAACTGCAGCACACATAAAGTTTTCTTTGCACAGCCTAATTCCTTTCTCGCCATCTCTTCTCAATCATCTTCAATTGCCGTCTCAAAGGACTCTCTCAATTATTATTCAGCTGGCCTGGGAACTTCGCTATTTAGCCTTGGGTCAAACCTAACAGAAAACACCGTTTTCATCGTTATATCTCAAAAACACCTCGATTGTTGCTTCTTTATTAGTTGCAGCGGGAACGTGTTTACCGAGTCGTTGCCTAGCAATGAACGCCTACTCCGGTTCAGGCTTTCAGGTGTCATGTTGCAATACGAGTATATTAAGAATATTTTTATATATTTCATTGCGATGTTATTTACTTCCTCTTCAAATGATACCAAACCGGAGCATAACTGTCTATTTCAGTGCAGTTCACGTGTTTTCTTGACGAGCTTCCTGTTATTTTGCACATTTCAAGTCTTCTGGTGTTTATTTATTGGAGACATATCGATCGTTGCAAAGGCAGTTGCACTGGACATACTAAACTGCAGACTCAGACATTATCTTCCTTGTGTTCTGTTGTTGATCATGTTGAAACATCCACAAACAAAGAATTCTGTATTTTGGGAAATAATGCTTTGTAGCCCGTCAAAAGTCAAACGATGTTTTGCTGTCTGCTTCATTCTCCTTGCTTATCTTATTCATCAACCCTGAAGATTGACTTGATACGAGTATATTACTTTGAAACGTCGATTCACATTCAACGCACTATATGGCGTTTTATCCGACAAGAGAGATCTCTTCATAACCACCGGTGTGAGAACCTCAATTCCCACATCGAAGAACGAACGTGACAGATACTCGGTTATTACGAGTAGTTTAGGAGATGAAATGTGTGGACGGACATGACTTGCCAGTACGAACTGAGTTGTTCAGCTGTTAGAACGTAGGAAGTTTATCCTCCTTATTCTGTGAAACATCCTTACTGATTTTTGTCTAAGAGTGTAACAGTGGCATTAAGCAGATGTGCCAGAAAAGTTCAGTTACTGAGTGCAGTAAGCGTGAGACAGTTGGCATAACTGTAGTCGGGAAACTTGTAGGGAAGCATGAGACAGTTGGCATAACTGTAGTGGGAAACTTGTAGGGAAGCGTGACACGGTTGGCATAACTGTAGTCGGGAAACTTGTAGGGAAGCATGAGACAGTTGGCATAACTGTAGTGGGAAACTTGTAGGGAAGCGTGACACGGTTGGCATAACTGTAGTCGGGAAACTTGTAGGGAAGCATGAGACAGTTGGCATAACTGTAGTGGGAAACTTGTAGGAAGAAACCAGTCGAAAGATATAAGAGTATATAGGAGGATAATATCAAACTAGATCTTGGACAAATAGGGCGATATTTTATGATTTGCATTCGTCTAAGTCAAGATAGATGAATGTCATTCCCGTAGGTCACGATAGATGAATTTTATTTCCCTAGGTCACGGCAGCCGAGCGGTCTAAGGCACGTACTTTCTTCCCTCGCTCGGAAGCCGGGACCGTGTTTTCGAATTCCACTCAAGGCATTGATGTTTCGTGTGTGTATGTGTTTATTCTGTGTTTGTGTTGTCCTGTGTTTAGTTATAGAGGCCTTGTGACGGGCTGGACACCCGTCCAAGGAGTCCTACCATCTGTGAAATTATCTTGAAACTGAAAATCAGCCCTGTGCTTCACAGCGGGAGCGAGAGGAGAGAGAGAAGTCACCGCAGATAAATTTCATTGCTTTAGGTCACGATAGATCAGCTGGCAGACTCTTCAATTTCCATAAAAAAAGGGGAGAATTACCTAACCAGCTGAGCGATTGTCAGCTTCTGAGGAAAATTTTTCATCATGGAGCAGGGTGAGGTCTATACCAGTATAATACTTACA